CGTTGTTACTCTCACTCATTATGTACTGAAATAGAAAAAAATAACAAACAAAAATGGAAACTTTAAGGAAAACGGAAGAGAATGACTTTGGGAGGAGAGGAAGAGGGGTGTATAAATAGCACTGAGTTTGCTCCCTAGGGCAGCAAATTGTAACTGTCGGCAGGTAGTTCGCTTACCTAGGCAGCAAACTTGGAGGGGACTGCCACGTGCCACACAGTTCGCTATAGGGGCCAACGAACTGTGTCAGTGGCTGCCACTTGTCTCCTAGTTCGCTGGCCATGTCAGCGAACTGTGTGCCAATTGACACATGGGCCGGATTTCGTCTGTACCCCTAGCAAACTGTGTTGGGGTCAGACACGTGGCAAACGAAGTTCGCCTTGTCTGTCAGCGAACTCTTCATATGTGTCAGCATTTATTGCACCCAAGTTCGCCTATGTCAGTAGCGAACTTGAGCACCATCAGGCTGCTGACACATCACCTTGCCTAGTTTGCTACTACTCCCAGCGAACTTGCCTGCGTGGCAGTTTGGGGGAAAAGTGCGTAGGAGTGGCATTTTGGTAAAAAAGACTTGGAACAGTGGCACAATGGTCACTGTTCCACTAACCACTGCATATTCGTAAAAAGGTATGAGGCTAGAGATTTTATAATTTCACTCTTATATGTTGATGACATGTTGATTGTAGGGCAATATAAGTCGAGAATAACTGTCCTGAAGATGGCGTTAAGCTTGTCCTTCGCTATGAAGGACCTAGGCCCTGCAAGGAAGATACTCGGTATTAAGATCATCCGAGACCAACCTAAAATACTGTTGTGGCTGAGTCAACAAAAATATATTGAGAAGGTTCTGAAGAGATTTAGCATGGACAAAGCCAAGATAATGAGTACCTCCTTAGCCGAACACATTAAGTTGAGTCAGAAGCAGTTTTCGAGATTTGACAAAGAAAGAAGAGATGTTGAAGATACCGTACCAGTCCATCGTCGAATGCTTGATGTATGCAATGATTTGTACGAGACCCGACTTGACATTTGCAGTTGTAATGGCAAGCTGATATCTGTCTAATCCCGAGAAGGAACATCAGGAAGCCGTCAAATGGATCTTCAAGTACCTTCGAGGTACGAATAATCTATGCCTTCAATTTAGAGAAGGAAAAGCCGAGTTGAAAGGCTACTCAGATGCCGACTTAGAGGGAGATACCAACTCGAGAAAGTCGATGACTGGATACTTGATGACTTTTGCCGGATGAGCTGTCTCCTGACAATCAAGACTTAAAAATATGCTGCACTTTCGACAACTGAGATCTAGTACATAGCTACAACCGAGACAAGCAAAGAAATGTTTTGGATGAAGAAGTTCATCTCGGAACTTGGCCATGAACAAGACAAGTACGAGCTGAAGTGTGACAATCAAAACACTATTCACTTAGCCAAGAACTTGGCTTATCATTCCCGCACTAAACATATTGATGTAAAGGTATCACTGGATCCGGGATGTGGTGGATGATAGACAACTCAAACTCGCCAAAGTGCACACCGACCTGAATTGGTCCAACATGATGACTAAGTCTGTACCAGCAAGAAAATTCGATGACTGTTGCAAAGGTGTCGGGCTACTGCTGAACCCAACGCATTAAATTCAGAAGGGGGAAATTTGTTGGGTGGTGGTGGTGTTCCTCCATTAATGTTAGCATGCACCTCATTTAATGAGTGCAAAACTCAAGACTCCAACCACCTCTAATAAATGCTTATTTGTTAGGAAGGTTCTTTCATTAATGATGTTAGTTGTGACATGCACCACATTTATTGGTTCAAGACTTAAGGACTCCAACCGCTTACAATAAATGTTACCTACAATATTGATTTAAGAAGATTCTGGAAGAATGTGAAGGGTTTCTCTAACCCTTAGAAACCCCCTTGAATTTACTTATAATGAAGTAGAGAAATTTAGAGAGACATTTTGTGAGAGTACCTCTAAAGAAATGTGTGAGTGTTAGATCTCTTTAGGGACGTTTGATATTACCATCATACTTGGTGAAGCTTGATTGTACCTCTAATGAAAGACTAGAGAAGTTTGATCATCTAGTAACCCAATATTTTTATAGTGGAAGTTTGATTCTGGACTAGTGTCCCGTGATTTTTTACTTTTTCGCATTGGAGAAGATTTTTCCACATTAAACAAATTGACTATGTTCTTCTCTATCTCTCTCATATGCATTCTTTCTTATTTTCACTGCGTAGACCTAACAACCTGTAGCACCGCTCAATGGTAATTGAGAAAAAGAATTGAAGGTTGTGATACCAATTGATATGAACTTTGGGATAACCTCTCACCCCAAAGCAAACCCATTATATAGGAGAACCCAAAGTCCATATAAACTTCATACCAAAGCCTTATGTTTCTGATGTGGATGTAAAAAATCAGTTCAACCAAAAACCTTAAGGCATTAGGTGAGATTACATTAATGCTTTTATATATCTGTAACAAACTCATCACACAAGAGCTCTTTGGGTTTTAAACGTGGATATTGCACAAACCTATTTTTTGGTCTGCCTTGTGCTGCACAAGCCAATTTTTTTGTTTATTTTGTGCTTACTTAATTTCACCACAAAGTGAGGGCTGTGAAGATCGAACTCGTGACTACTTGGTCACTCATGCTTTGATATCATGTAAATAACTAATTCAACCCAAAAATATTTAGGGTGATGCTGCATTGATAATTTTATATCTCTTTAATAATAGGACTCAAGTCTCATACCTTAAAATAGGATCGTAACATAATGCCACGTGATCATCTATAAAAAATTCATATGATATACTTATAAATGTTGGGTGGACTTGTGTCTAAACGTTAGTCACATGAAACCACATAATATTTATCAAAAAATTCATATAATATCTTATAAGATGCTAGGAGGACAGTGGTGAATGTTAGGAACATGACACACTATGTATAAATATTGTACTCCATAATCATATGATTTTCTTATAAAATGGTATATGACTAGCGTCTTCATTCCTTAATGTTAACCACGTGCCAGCCATACATAAACCATATGCTCCTTGGAAATTTTTTCAGTGGTCCATATTAAGTGTGTGACACTTAGAGAAATTTTTTTCTCTCCTCTCTCCTCATTTTCTCCTCTTTATCTCCTCCATCCCACTCAGTTGGTAGTGTTCCAGGAGCACTAAATATATGCTTATGCTCCTTTGCTTTTATTTTATTAATTTCTCAGCTTTCATGTTCTCGGGGTGATTCAATTCATTTTGTGTGAGAAATTGTTGAGCCACCCAAAACCCCTTTCATTTCGTCTTGATTGCAATTGCTTGGTTCCGATAAAATATGTCCCTCTTTCATATAAACTAGCGCCATTTAAATGTTTTGATATCAAGTTTTAAAATTACAGCACGTGAAACGAAGGTATGGCATTTTTGCTATTATGCATAGATTTTTCAGTGCCCTATTTTTTTAATCTCTATTTATTTACATGAATTTTTCATTTGACTGCCTTTAAAAATGAATGTTGTGTTCTGGATTATTTATCAAATTGTTTTTTTTATGGGTGGTGCCAATATCAAGCCAGGTATTCATATGATGCTATGGTCAATTGAATGAACAAATCTTTGATGCTATTGTTGCACCATACATTCTTTCTATAAAGATATAGGATATTGTTACTACTAATTAATGTTACTATCAATGTCATTACCAGTTTGTTTCACCGTTAGATCGATTATATGGATCCAACGATTATATTTATTTCCACCTTTATATGGTTACGATTTCTCATATTTAATGTGAAAGCATTAAATATGATGAATCATAACCATACAAAGTAGTGGTGTTCATTACCCGATCCAAATCAATTCAAATCGTGGTGACCGAACCGACAAACCAAATTAACCGAAAACTGGAAATCGAAAAAAAAATCGCAAATTTTAATTGGATTGGATCGGTTTTCGGTTTGATTAATGAAAACCGATCCAATCCAAATCGATCTAATATATTAATTTTTCTCTACCTACTTGGGCATTTCCCCAATCATAGCCCAAAAAATTCTAAATTCAAGACCCATTAACCCATCAGCTAAACCCAAGAAAAATCTAGCCACACCTCATGAGCAAAAATTCATCTGTGTAGAGCTTCATATCTTATTGCTAAAAAAAAAGATTTAGATTATCGTTTACTGATGCTCTTATATTAAAAAAAAAACTTTACAAAGTCAATACATACAAAAGATATGTTGTTTTCACAATAATCATCAAACAAATTTTAGACTTTTCAAAAAATCGAAAACCGGTTCAATCCAAACTAAAAAAAATTAGATTGGATCAGATTTGAAAATAAATCCAAACCGAATGAATGATTACATGATCAAACCGAAAGGATTGGATCGAATGATTTTTGCTTCCAAAATCGATACAATCCAAACCGCGAACACCCCTAATACAAAGGTGAAAATAAATATAAAGTATTAAATATATGAAGAAGAAAGAAGATTTTTAGAAAGTTAAATCAGAACCGTTGGATCAACATCATCAATCTAACGGTGAAACAAATTGATAATGACATTGATACTAACATTAATTGATAGTAACAATATCTTATCTCTTCTATAAAAGTAAAATATTAGAATTTGAATAGAAATATATAAAAAAAAACTTAGATTTAAATGGAACACTAATTTTCTAATTTGAGGAAATAATGTACCGAGTTTGGTACCTCTCATCTACCAAATAAATTTCCCAATTGAAGATACATTGCATTAGGTTGATACAGTGCACAGGAACCAAGTGAGTAAACACCATCATCGGGTTTCAGCCCCATTATTATTTTACACAAAGAACATGACACCATATAATATACCATTAATATCTATATATATTCTAACGCAAAACCATTTGTTGGTAAGTTTGCTGACGTGTCGATTTCTCATGCATTCTCAAGTTTGTGTTCACACTACTTAAATCTAAATATTTTCCTCTTTATATATGCATTGGAGCGATGAGTGAGAGAGAGAAAGGTGATCATGGGAAGAATCCTGGCAAATCAAGTGAAGAACTTGACATTCTTCAAAGAAGTAATAATAGGAATAAAGGTGAGGGAGATCAGTTTTCAAATGATGTATCTATTATACCTAGACATGAAGGTTGGATGGAAGATGAGAATGGCCAACGTTCAACCTGGAGGGAAATTCTGATGCGTCATAATGGAGAAGATGATGAATGGGAAGGAGAGGCGTCTGCTGAGGAAGACTTAGATGGGGAGGAACCTGCTGAGGAAGAGGATGTCAACCATGGAGGAATTAAGATGTGGGAGGAAGATGATGGGCGTACTTATTTTAGTTGCACCAAAAGAGCAAGGAAGAGAATGAGGAAACCTTGGGAGAAAGCTCTGATTGTTAAACTCCTTGGGAAGAAAATTGGGGTGGAGTTTATGAAGAAAAAAATAAATGTCTTATGGGCTAGAAAAGGCAAAATCAATGTCACTGATATTGGTAATGACTTTTTCGTAGTCCAGTTTAGTGAGAAGGATGATCTCAATTTTGCGTTGAACGGTGGTCCATGGATTGTTTTGGGTCATTATTTATCGTTGAGGAAGTGGGAAACAACTTTCAGACCTAATAGTGCTGGAATTGCTAAGATTGCTGCTTGGATTCGTCTACCGGATATTCCCATTGAATTCTATGATGAAGCTTTTTTTAGAAGGATTGGAAACTGGTTAGGCAAGATGATCAAGGTAGACAGCAATACAAATGCTCATGTAAGAGGACGGTTTGCAAGAATATGTGTGGAACTGGACCTATCTCAGCCATTAAAGGGTGATTATGTGCTGGAAGGATTTACCAAACAAATTGAGTATGAAGGATTAGGGCTCATTTGTTTTGGTTGTGGGAAATATGGACATAGCACCGAGAATTGTTCAGCTGCTCCAAAGCAACGCAGTTCATCCGATATTCATAATGACGATCAAATTCATCAAGAGGAACCTGGCAACACAGAATTTCATCGAAGCAAAGGATTGGGACCTTGGATGGTTGTTAACCGTCAACGCAGGAGCCGGCAACCTCCTCAGACGGCCGGTGCAGTCCAGCCAGGCGCTGGTTCAAAAACGTTACAAAGGAATAATGATAAGGGAGTTATGACCAGCGATAATCATGGAGATAATCATGGTGATAAGAGAGTTATGACCAGCGATAATCATGGTAATCATGGTAATAAGGGAGTTATGACCAGCGATAATCATGGAGATAATCATGGTGATAAGGAGGAAATTACGCAATCACGGTTTGCAATCTTAACAGCTGGACCTATTAATGAGGAGGATCATAATCAAATAATTAATTCTGTTACTCCTCATATGGGGGCCCCTCAGTTTGAAATTCCTCAGAAAATATGGACTAAATCCAAAAAGTCCAAAGATACCCCTAGGACTAATTCAACGGTTCCTACTATGCATGCAGCTCCTTCTTCAAGCACGGGTAAGAGGTGTCCAATCCAGAGTGAAAATCGTGAAGATCATGCTCCCGTTCCACCATCTCCATCAATTGCTACTCCCATGGCGGTTAGTCCTATGCAAGCAAATCAACATGATCAGGAAAATGGGATGAAAGCAAATAGCACTTTGAACCAGAATCAAGAGCAGTTATATGGCACATTTCATAAAACTGGTCCTGATATATCAGTTGACAACAGCAGCGACATCTAAAATCCTGAAACCTCAACCATCTCTACATGCATGGAGGTGGACAGAGTTCACCAGGAAGATATTTCAAGAATGAAGGATGCAAGAACCTTGGAGTCTTGCGTTCAACATAGTTTTTAATGAATTTATTCTTCTGGAACTGTAGGGGAGCAGTGAAACCCCAGTTTCAAAAATCGCTTTTTTCTGTTTACTAGGAAATATAAGCCTAGTATTGTAGTGATTCTAGAACCTCGGTGTAGTGGTCAAAAAGCATTCTAGTCTTGCGTTCAACATAGTTTTTAATGAATTTATTCTTCTGGAACTGTAGGGGAGCAGTGAAACCCCAGTTTCAAAAATCGCTTTTTCTGTTTACTAGGAAATATAAGCCTAGTATTGTAGTGATTCTAGAACCTCTGTGTAGTGGTCAAAAAGCTTCTGACATTATCCGAAAATCTGGGTTTAAGCATGCTTTTGTTCAAGAGGCAGAAGGTTACTCAGGGGGTATTTGGATCCTCTGGAATGATGAGACTGGTCTCGTTGAAATTGTTAATCACACAAAACAGTTTGTTCATTTTAAAGTTCAGAATTTTCATGTTCCTTCTTTTTCTTGCACGGCAGTTTATGCGAGTCCTAGGGAAGAAAATAGAAAGGAGCTATGGGATGATCTGCTAAACATTAGTCTCCATTGTAATGGGCCGTGGTTGGTGGCTGGGGATTTTAATGAAATAGCAAATCGTGATGAGAAGGAAGGTGGCTGTAGAGTTAACTTAAACAGATGTTCCAATTTTGCAAATGTTCTTCATAATTGCAAGCTGTTGGATCTTGGAGGATCGGGTCCTTGGTTTACATGGAAGGGTCCGAAGTTTCTTCATCTTGATCGTGTTTTTAAGAGGCTGGACCGAGCCTGTGCTAATGCAAGTTGGAAGACTACCTTTACTGATGCTGGCGTTAAGGTACTTCCACGGATTTATTCTGATCATAGTCCCATTTTGGTCTACTTGACTAACTTGGACACAGGTTGGAAAAATCGTCCTTTTCGCTTTGAGATTGCTTGGATGGAGCATTATAACTTTACTCAGTTTCTGGCTAGGAGCTGGAATGTTGTGAAAGACACTAGAACGAATCTGCATGATCTGACTCCAAATTTAAAAAGATGGAACAAGGTAGTCTTTGGCAACATTTTCAACAGGAAGACTAACCTATTGCATAGTGTTGCAGAAATTCAGAATCATGTTGATTATCATACCAACTTATCTCTCCAATCTAGAGAAAAGGATGTTAGGAAGGACCTTGATGCGGTTCTCATTCAAGAGGAGATCTTATGGTTTCAAAAAGCCAGGGTGAAATGGATAAATGACGGGGATAGAAACACCAAATTCTATCACATTAAAACAGCTACTCGAAGAAGTTCGAATAGGATCCTTGAGTTAAAAAATTCTGATGGGATTTGGGTGAAGGAAGCTAGACAACTTCATCAATTGGTAACAGATTTCTATAGTAACTTGTTTAGTGAGGAAGTCCTTAATCGTGATTGGGTGAAAACAAAGACTACTTGGCCCCTTCTGCACGATGATCTGCTATCTAATCTGACTCGTAATCTTTCGGATGACGAAATTTCAAAAGCTGTTTTTAGTATCAATGGGTCAAAAGCTCCAGGGGAAGATGGTTTTCCAGCTGCCTTTTTTCATAAGAATTGGAGTCTTATTAAGACTAATGTTATTAAGGATGTTAACATGATGTTTCAGAATCCCAATCTGATTCACCTTGTGAACTCGACTCTTCTGGTCCTCATTCCAAAAGTAAAGAGACCTGAAAGTGCTAAGCAGCTCAGACCAATCTCTTTGTGCAATGTCATTTATAAAATCCTCAGTAAAATTCTGGTTAACAGAATGAAGCCCCTAATGGAAGAGATGGTGTCTCCCTTCCAAGCTAGTTTTGTTCCTAAACGACATATCCAGGACAACATCATCATCACCCAAGAGCTGATCCATTCAATGCGTAGAATGAGAGGAAGAAAATGTTTCATGGCAATTAAAATCGACTTGGAAAAGGCTTATGATATGTTAAATTGGGACGTAAAGTTTTGGATGAAATTCAAATCCCACACTGGTTCACAAATATTATCATGAATTGTATCAACTCTGATAAGGTCTCAGTTCTTTGGAATGGAGCCATTGCAGGTGACTTCCTTCCTTCAAGAGGAGTTCGTCAGGGTGATCCTTTATCTCCCTACATTTTTGTTCTAGCCATGGAAAATTTTCTCATCTCATTCAAGATGCGGTTGACAATAAGAGATGGAAGCCAATCTCCGTGGGTTTCAAATGCAACACAGTCTGCTCCCTGTAGCCATTTGTGATGAAA